GTACTTACCAAAATCAACACTGGTTACTAGAATTCAACAGGGTAAAGTCTTTTAAATTCTGAAGAAAATGATATTTTTAAATAAATTATTGCAATCCCAAATTTTACAGCCAGGTAAAACATTAATTGAATGCAAGAGAAAGACTGAAAAGAAAATAGAAAATACCTCTTTAGTGTGACCTTTCTAAAAAGTTATTTGAAAAATGTGCTCCATTGAAATGAGGGGAGGAAAAAAAGAGAAGCAAATTTTAAAAAAAGAAAAAGAAACGTGGGAGATCAAGAAGATGACACAGGAATTCAGGAAGGTACCCCTAGTGGGGAAAGGAGAAGTAGTCTAAGAAGCTCAAATTTCATTCTGTAGACATTGGAGCAAGCAGGGGGTTTCAAGCTGGTGAGCAAAACAATGAGATCATGTTTTAGAAAGAACATCTGTACTAAGTTTGAAGGTGGGATTAATAAAAGATATTTCTGGCACCATCTTGGAATTTTTGCAAGGTTTGGGTGAAAAGTAATTCAGACTCAAACTAAAACCGTAGCAATGAGAACCAGCTAAGCTGGCATCTGATGGGTGGGGAGAGCACAATTGCATTTTACTATAGATTTTTACAGCATGAATCTAAGAAAAGGTCAAGAAAGACTCCATGAGGACACTGAAGCTTCAAGCCCTGAGATGTGGTGGATAGAAGATAGAAAATAAAATATATCAATAGGTTTAGAGGGAAGATTCATTCTATTGGGGATATTTTGAGTGGAGAGGAAATGCTACATCTACTGGGTAATATAAAGGGGCTTCTGCTTTCCTTTCTGATATTACCCAGAATGTCTTTTTAAAAGTGTAAGAGAAGATAAATTTTCAACAAGAAAATAAAAGGATAGTAGTTGCTTGCTTGACCCTGTAAATGTAAAGTAGTACAAGGAGAGCAACCTGCATCAGGAAGTAAACAGGATCACTTTAGCAGCAATAGGCTTAATGGATACTCAGAGTTACAGCAGGTCCCTGAGATGAGGTTGGAGAGCTAGTCAAGGGCCAGACCTGCAGGACCTTGAGAAATATAGTATAAAGAGTGAGGCTGGGGATATGGCTCAAGCAGTAATGCGCTCACCTGGCATGCGCAGGGCACTGGTTCAATCCTCAGCACCACATAAAAATAAAAGATGTTGTGTCCACTGAAAACTGAAAAATAAATATTAAAAAAAATTTTTAAAAAAGAGTGGATGTGTTTTAGTCAGCTTTTTTGCTGCTGTGACTAAAGGACCTGATCAAAACAACTGTAGAAGAGGAGAAGTTTATTTAAGGGCTCACAGTTTTAGAGGTGTCAGTCCATAAGCAGCTGGATCCATTCCTCTAGTGAAGCTGAATATCATGGAGGAAGAGTGTGACAGAGGGAAGCAGCTCACATGGTGATCAGAAATGAGAGAGAATGAGAGAGGGGTGGGGGTAGGGGTAATCTTGATGAATATAGTATATCCAGGTAGTCTCCAGGTCTTCCAAGCTGAGCCTCACACATCACAGAGCAGAGACACCGCATCCCCACCATGCCCTGTTCATATTCCTGATCCAAAAAGCTATTCTTTTTTTTTTTTTTTGGGGGGGGGGGGATGGAGTATCAGGTCTCTGGAGGCATTAACATTCCAATCTCCCAGGGCAGGCCTCCACTGATGGCTTGTCTTTAAATTCTTGCTTCATTTGGAACCAACATGCCTTGTTTCTTTGTCTAAATTTTCATATCTGCCTTCTTCATTAAAAAAAAATGTTTTAAGAAATGAGAGGTGCTTCTAAATGAACTCTATGGAGCATCTTACCTAATACAGACTCCTGAGCTCCACCATAAGAGATTATTTAATTCATTTGTTTGGGGATGTGGCTGAGTCTGTAACGCAGATGATTCTGATGCTGGGGTCCAGGGTAGTGCTTGGACCCTAAATGCTGATTTTCAAAATGGTAACCTACCAGTTTCTCCCACAAATATCTGCCTCAGTGATATTTCCACAAGTTAGATCACAATAAGGCACCAAATTCTTCGACATGCCTTCCATTAAGAGGTGGGTTCTATATCCCCTGCCCTTGAATTCACTAGTTCTTTTAGAATCTGCTATACCTGAGAAGCCCAAGCCATATGGAGCAGCTATGAGCTCTGCCTTTGAGTCTGCTCCTCGGACATGCCAAGGAAGGAGCCTGTAGGTCACTCCAGCCTCCAGCCATCAGGTCACTGTTAGAAATACTGAGGTGCCGCCAGAAATCAAACACATGCTTAAAAGTGGGTGGGCATGTGTTTTAGTCAGCCTTTTTGCTTGCTGTGACCCAACCAGCACAATTATAGAGGAGAAAAGTTTTATTTGAGAGCTCACTGTTTCAGAGGTCTCTATCCATAGAAGACAGGCACCATTTCTCAGGACCGGAGGTGAGGCTGAACATCACAGCTAGAGAGTGTGGCAGAGGAAAGCAGCTGACATCATGGTGATTTGAAAGCAGAGACAGAGACTCCGCGCACCAGAAACAAATATATACCCCAAACCCACGCCTCCAATGCCCACCTCCTCCAACTACACCCCACCTGCCTTCAGTTACCACTCTGTTAATCCCACCAGGTGATTAATTCAGGCTCTCCTAACTCAGTCATTTTTTTTCTCAGAACCTTCTTGCATTGTCTCACATGTGAGCTTTTGGGAGACATCATACATCCAAACCATACAGTAAGGTAAACTTTACTTCTGCCAGAAGGGCGAGCTACAGAACAAGGCTGGGAGCCAGGTTAGCAAGTGTGCCTGTCCCAGGTAGTCCCTGGCTGCTTATATCCCTAATGGGGCACTGCCCTTCATCCTGATTGGAGGAGCTCAGGGTTACAGTCTATGTGATTGGCTAACTTTAAAATTGGGGCAGGCAAAGAGAAAGGCTATAATTAAAATAGCTACACAATTGGATCCAATTAAGGCTGAAGACTATATTCTGAAAATAAACCACCAGATTTTCTATTTCCCACAGTCACCTCAGACTTCAGGTCTTCCCAGCTGAGCAGAGACACCGCATCCCCACCATGCCCTATTCACATTCCTGATCCACAAAAGCTATTCTTTTGGTGTTGGGGGGGAGGGCAGTGGAGTACCAGGGATTGAATTCAGGGGTACTAAACCACTGAGCCACATGCCCAGCCATACTTTGTATTTTATTTAGAGATTGGGTCTTGCTGAGTTGCTCAGCACCTCACCTTTGCTGAGGCTGGCTTTGAACTTGTGATTTTCCTCTCTCAGCCTCCTGAGATGCTGGAATTACAGGTGTGAAACACCACACCCTGCCACAAAAGTTATTCTTATAATAAAAATGTTATGGTTTCATGCCACTTCGTTTTGGAGTGTTTTGCAATGCAGTAACTGAAACTTTACAACTTTACAATTTTGGAATATTTTGCAATGCAGTAACTGAAAGTTTTCTCCAGGAATATCTACTAAAATGCAAACACTCCTTGGAAGGATAAATTCTTTCAGATAACATGTAAGCAGTTTATCTAGCAAATAGCAAGACAGGAAGAATGAGCTAAGATATGTTTTCTTTTCTCATTGACCTGAAAGCACCATGGGACAAAGAGATATATAAATGTAGCTTCCAGAAAACTGGAGGCAAAAAGATGGCCATACCTTGAAGTCAACATTGCTTAAAGAGTAGATGAGGCAGCAGAATGAAATCCAGCTTGACTTACTCCACAGCTGTACTAGAGACCAGCTCCAAAACCCCTCCAAGAGCTCTCTCACTAACTGTAAATCCCAAATTTATTTGCCTAATGTTAGAAATCACCTAGAGATCACATAGTAATAAACACCACAAGTCATGCTTACCACCAGGCAAGTTTGGAAAATACTAAATGATAGAATTTTATGTCAAATACAAACCAAGATAGCAAATGTGTAACCTTGCCCCACAAGAGTCACGATTCTGCAAGGATAATGGGGTTAATTTGTGAGCTTTGTGTTCATACAAATAAACAACAACAACAACAAAATAGTAGAAAGTTCTGGAAACCTTGGACCTTGAAAATTTAAATCCCACCTAAGCCCTATTATAATCATGTGCAGAAAGAAGCTGAAAATATTAGAATTCATTTGCTAATCAGAAACTACTAATTATGTTACATTTAAAAATGTAAAGGCTTTCCATAAGGAATGCTTAGCAAATATTTTCATTTATAAAATATAAAATAAGAGGGATGCTAGGTTAAATATTCATGGTTTTATTCAATCTATTATCTAGTCCTAGTAAAAAATGATAGAGCAAGACATATAATGTGGACTCTCTGGATTGAGAGAACAGAGATTGTCAGTTAAAAGCCATCTACTTTAGTAATTAACATTATTACACAATTTCCAGCCTCCACCACTTCTCCCTCCCATAGTTTGTGAAAGTGATTTTTAATCTCATTTCTCATTGTCTTTATACGTATACATTACAGTCTTCTAAAGAAACTGGGTGGGGGGCGGGGGGGCATTGGTCTTAGTCATGAATTCATAATGTAACTGGCTAGGACTTTCAAGTTCCACATTATTATAATCATTTTCACCATACTGTTGTTGACCTAGATCAGTCCAAAACTCTCACAGAGACTCATAACAATTTAGGTCCCGTTAAGCCTGTTCAATTTTATTTCTCTTGCCTCTTGAGGCCATTTAATAGTTGCCTGGTATCATTTTGCTGAGTAAACTTGATACCCATCTCTGATTCCAAGAGCTCTCACATATTCTGAGGGATAGAATAAAATGTCTGCAGAAATAGTATTTGTGCTGGTGGATTCCAAAATTTCCAGCAATAAAAATGGGAATTGCTATGACATATTGATATAGAAGCCTAATACCCCTCCTTGGACCAGGGAGTCTATGTAAAGAAGTCAGTTACATAGTCAGTAGCTAAAAGGAGCTCCTTGTTGATCTGGGGTCTGTTTGATCTTCTGGCCAAATATAGAAGACCTTGGCTGCTCACTGCCTCTCTGTGTTGTTCTGTTCTCTGTGTTCCAGGGACGTGTCTTACACCAGTGTTACTGCCCTGCCGTCCAAAGGCCTGGAGCACCTGAAGGAACTGATAGCAAGAAACACTTGGACTCTTAAGAAACTTCCACTTTCCTTGAGCTTCCTTCACCTCACACGGGCTGACCTTTCTTATCCCAGCCACTGCTGTGCTTTTAAGAATCAGAAGAAAATCAGAGGGTAAGTGGTAGGGACCCAGAAAGTGATGAGGGGCCATGGTAGAGGCTGCGTTAATTTCTGGGTTTGGGGAAGAATCTCTGTGGTTTGAAAAGCAGGTGGAAAAGAATTGGAAGCATCTGTATGAACAGGAAACCTAGGAGCACAATAACCCTGAAGATGCCGAGTGGTTGCGGACAAGAAAGAAGGTCAGTGTCTCTGAATAGTAATAGCCGAGGTGAGGTTTAGTAAAAGATGGCCTAGTAGGGACAGGTGTGACCAGGTCATGTAGCACCTTGTAAGAGGTTACAAGACATGACTTCTGGCCTCCAGATGCAACACATAAACAACACCACAACCACAAGGACACACTTGCCAACAACACATGCAATTGGACTACCTGATCCGTCAGGACCTTGCACCTGTCATAACTTGCTGGTTGCATGTATATCATTTTAGAATCAGCTCAGCTTGTATCCCAGCCCTGCCAGTTTCTAGCTGTGTTATCCCAGCTTGTCTTAAAATGCTTTATGTCTTGTACCTGTTCTCCTAAGTCCACCTTCATTAATCTCTTATTCAGTCCCCCTCAGCTTCTCTGTAAGTGTCTGCAAGTTGACTTTCTACACTCATATTTGTACTCAGAAAAGAATTGGGATCTAGTTTTGGGGGCAGAAGCAAAGTGGCAAGTTAAACGACTGTGCAACAGGTGTAATGGCTGCAGAAAACTAGAAGTGGGGCAAGAGGATGGAAGCAGCAGACTATACTGACTCCATGTGGCACTAAGTAGGAAAGGACCAGGGAGGGATGGAAAGGATCCAGGCTTCTCCTTAACCTCCCAACTGGATAGAAGTGCTAGCCCATTGGACTTTTTTTTTTTTTTTGGTTGTAGATGAACACAATATTTTTATTTATTTATTTTTATATGGTGCTGAGGATCGTACCCAGTGCCTCACATGTGTACCACTGAGCTACAGCCCCAGCCCCCACTGGACATTTTAACCAGATCTCATTAGGTGAATCAAAACCTGATCAGCAGCTGAAGCAAGGTAAATTCCTTTTGTTGTAAGGAGATCAGGGAAGACTCCTCTGAGAAAAGGACATTTGAGTTCAATATTGAATAATGAGTCAAGGCAGCCACCAGTCTTCAGGCAAACAGGATATGGAATTCTAGAGCTCTCGATGGGAATAATAATAACAACAAATAACAATATCCAACATATATATGCACTCCCAATATTGCAGGTGCTGTTGTAAGAGCTTTAAAAAATACTGATCTACTCCTTTAATAAACTATGTGAAATATCTCATTAACCCACAATCCAAGTGAATAAGCCAAGGTTCTTAGACCTGCTCCAGGGAAAACAGCTGGAACTGTAGAGCCAGGTTCTGACCTACATAGACTAGATAAATATCATGCTTTTTTATTATTGCTGTGCTTGAATTGGTTATAGAGGAGAAATAAGAGCAATGTCACTGGATCACAGTAGGAAAGGTAGGGAGTAAAGGAAATGGTGTAGGAGAGACAATCCTGGCCAGATCATGTAAAATCTTGTAGAATCATGTACATTATCATAAGCACTGACATCTTGGGTGTTGTGGGTCTCCTGATATTAAGCAAATATTTTTTCTGCAACTCATTTTTCTGCTGCCTTGCAGAATCCTTGAGTCCTTGATGTGTAATGAGAGCAGTATCCGGAGTCTGCGTCACAGAAAATCTGTGAATGGTCCCATCTACCAGGAATATGAAGAAGATTCGGGTGATAGCAATGTTGAATACAAGCCAAACTCCAAGTTCCAGGATATCCACAGCAACTCCCATTATTATGTCTTCTTTGAAGAGCAAGAGGATGAGATCATTGGTTTTGGCCAGGAGCTCAAAAATGCCCAAGAAGAGACTTTACAAGCCTTTGACAGCCATTATGACTACACTGTGTGCGGGGACAATGAAGACATGGTGTGTACCCCCAAGTCAGACGAGTTCAACCCCTGTGAAGACATAATGGGCTACAAGTTCCTGAGAATCGTGGTGTGGTTTGTTAGTCTGCTGGCTCTTCTGGGCAATATCTTTGTCCTGTTCATTATCCTCACCAGCCACTACAAGCTGACCGTCCCACGCTTTCTGATGTGCAACTTGGCCTTTGCAGATTTCTGCATGGGGATATACCTGCTTCTCATTGCCTCTGTGGACCTCTACACGCACTCTGAGTACTACAACCATGCCATCGACTGGCAGACAGGTGCTGGGTGCAACACAGCTGGTTTCTTCACTGTCTTTGCCAGCGAGTTGTCCGTGTACACACTGACGGTCATTACCCTGGAGCGCTGGTATGCCATCACCTTTGCCATGCGCCTGGACCGGAAGATCCGCCTCAGGCATGCCTATGTCATCATGGTTGGCGGCTGGGTTTGCTGCTTCCTGCTTGCCCTGCTCCCTCTGGTGGGAATAAGTAGCTATGCCAAGGTCAGCATCTGCCTGCCCATGGACACTGAGACCCCTCTTGCTCTGGCGTACATTGTTCTTGTTCTGTTGCTCAATATCGTGGCCTTCGTCATCGTGTGCTCCTGCTACGTGAAGATCTACATCACGGTTCGAAATCCCCAGTACAACCCTGGAGACAAAGACACCAAAATTGCCAAAAGGATGGCTGTGTTGATCTTCACCGACTTCATGTGCATGGCGCCAATCTCCTTCTATGCCCTGTCGGCACTTATGAACAAGCCTCTCATCACTGTCACCAACTCCAAAATCTTGCTGGTTCTCTTCTATCCACTGAACTCCTGTGCCAACCCATTCCTCTATGCCATTTTCACCAAGGCTTTCCAGAGAGATGTGTTCATCCTGCTCAGCAAGTTTGGCATCTGTAAACGCCAGGCTCAGGCATACCAGGACCAGAGAGTTTGTCCAAAGAACAGCACTGGTGTTCAGATCCATAAGGTTACCAGGGACATGGGACAGAGTCTCCCCAACATGCAGGATGCCTATGAACTGCTGGAAAATTCCCACCTAACTCCAAATAAACAGGGCCAAATCTCAGAGGAGTATAAGCAAACAGTCTTGTAAGTTGATCCCATAACCACTCACAAATGGTAGGGGGACTTATAACAGGCTGGTGTCTTGAACATGCACTCCAATCTCATGACACACAAACACACAGCTGACCTGACCTTTGTGCAGGTGATGGTTCATGAGGTCATAGTTCATCTCTGGAGAGTGACTAGCATTAAACTAATCACCGCCTCCAAGAAGGAAGAGAAGCCACCAGCACCATCGGAATCCCAGGTGATGTGAAAACAATCTGGGTTCTCTGGAAGACGTGCTTCATGCTAAATTCAGAGATGACCTTGTGTGACATGTTCAACAAGTATAAACTGAACCATTGTTCTTCTTGCCTTTATACAGCATTTCATACTAAAGATTCAGCAAATGGTGACCACAGGATAAAAACAGCCCCATATTGACTCATTCAGCTTCACATTCCCTTATACAACCAAAGAGTTTTAATTCCTTAAAGCTGAAAAGATAAAAACAGCTAGATGCCATTCAATAGCTGTTATAAAATAGGAAAAAGGGAAAAAGATTAGCTTTGAGTTCCCCCCCCCCCAGACTCTGAAAGTATTAATCATTTCTTCACTAGCATCTACCTGATATTATGTGTTGCCTGGAGAAACTGGTAAGATTTCAGTTCATGTGATCTAGAAAACTAGAATTAATCTTATTGGCTATTCTCATAGCATCAAAGATGTGAAACATAGAAAATATTTGACTGATAAAACAAACTGAACTCCAATTAACTAGGCCTCAGAAGTCCATGGAAATGAAGGATTCTATGGCCTTTTCCATTTAAAATTTTGTGTCTGTCTCTTTCCCTCGAGACAGATTTCCATGACAAAGAGAAAGAAGACCACTAGGTAAGTATAATCTATTTTTCCTATCTTGTAGGGTTGTTGTCTCCTTTTTGAAACCAGACATATGACTCAGGAATATGTCTGCTTCCAAAAATTTCTGAACCGAAATTTCCATTGAATGACTATATTGAGTTGGATCCAAATCATTTATCTCATTACTAGATCTATATTGCTATAATCATCAGACCAAAACCAGATGGGTATTGATATAACAGAATAAAAGTCCTGCAAGTCTCAATTACTTAGTTACTACTTTACTTTGCCAAACCACTGCTAAGCACTTAACTTGTCTTCAGGGATTGGTATATTAACAATTTCCAGCCCACAATACCACACTTAAGCTGTCAAGAGAGAGGTGTCTTCTCTTCTGATACGCCTGCTCTTTCCAATCCCTCTGACCACTGGATATAAACCTTTATTCCCTGACAGTGCTTCCTTACTTAAAATCACTAGGAGCTTCATCTTGGATTCTCTCGCCAGGTTATCAGTCATGGAACCCCTCTAATTTCTTGCTAGAAAAGAGTCCCCAAGCAGAGATGGTGTTTGCTTCTCAGTCCTGATGAACCCCAGCATAAACCTTTTGTCATTCTAGATTTGTGGTGTGAGGTTAATGGGCCTTCAGAGATGGTCCTTTCCTGGGACATTCACCTAGAATATGTTCACAACCATAACCATCACTACACTTGCACATCTTAGCAAATCTTATAAAACACCTAAAATCGTGGCTTTCCTAGCAGTTCATATGTAACTAATGAAATTAAACAAGTGTGTTACCTCTTGGCATGTTTCTCTCCTGTGGCATTTTGAAATATCATGTCTTCATAAATAATGTGTTTTATCTTGAGTAGCTGAACTAGTTTGTGCTTTGGAGACAGAGTCCTACGAAATAGACTTCAACGAGATTGTTACTAAAATTCGCATCCACAACATAAAATAAATGTTCTTTCTATAAAATGATCGTTCGGAGTCCTACAGCATTGTTCTTTCCATTTTGCGTTTCTTTGGGGGTTAACATTATGTGTGTTAAAACTAAAGAGAGGGAAGGACAATTGGCTCATTTGCTAATGAATCCTTATTAGTAAACAAATAGTTGACTATCAACAACTTAAGTGTAACATTGGATCTTGACTGTAAGTGGTCTCAATGTGAAAAAAAAAAAAACTTAACTTTTAGTGAACTATGATTCTTCCATAATGATGATGGCTAAGAGAAAAATAGTAAAACAAATATATCAAGCAAAAGATTAGCATTAGTACTAGGAATTGAAGCAATATTCTAATGAAAGTAATAAGTCTGTAAGTCCTTTCTAGAGTTCACGTTAGCTGGGATCTTTCAATTATTTGAAGACAGATCCAAATCAGTGAGGTTAAAAATTCATGCCCTACTGAAAACAGGAGGGTCACCAGTTCAAAAACAACCTCAGCAAGGGTGAGGCGCTAAGCAACTCAGTGAGACCCTGACTCTAAATAAAATATAAAATAGGGCTGGGGATGTAGCTCAGTGGTTGAATGCCCCTGGGTTCAATCCCCGATACCTGCCCCCCAAAAATTGATGCCCTAAAGCTTACACTTGTTGCTCAAAACATTCTCAAATTTATTGACTTGTTTTGTGGATAAGCTACTGTGTGTAATAGAAGTAGGTGGTTAGAAGAGGAACCTATATTACAGGGAGCACCATGAGAGTGGCAATAAAGGAAAAATGAAGATAAAAAGAAGAAAATCAAAATCACAAGCACTTTAAAAGCAGTAATAGTTTAAGACCAAATACCCCTACCTACTTGAAGTCTTTGGAGGGAACCATATTATAATAGAGTGGAGTGATTCTTATTCATTCTGAATACATAAGGAGACAAGACACCCTTGCCGGTAGCAGTGAATTCTGTTCTAAAATGCTATGAAAGTTCCAGTTCAGCATGAGGCCCTACACCCACCAATCTTCCTCCTTCAAATTCCACGGAAATGACCGTGAGAAAATAGACAATGAGGTCAAGCTGAATATGCCTAGCAAACTGGACGCTTGGAACCACCAGCAAACCAAAGACTCGGGTGGCTTTCTGAAAGTGGCAAGTAAGGCTTGGAGTGGATGGGTAACTCAGAAGGGAGGAGTCCGCAGCCTCCACCACACTCACAGAATCAGGCTGCAGCTGTGAAAGGATGCCTTCTTCCCTGTAAAGTCCCAGAGACCCCAAGCCTGAAGGTCACAGGAATGAGTGGGTAACTTGGGTCATTAATTGAAAGTCTGGCACTTGGCATCTCTTCCATCCAGTATGTGCCCCACGTCAAATCAGGATCTTTAAAGAAGGCAAATGACCAGTGTAGACAAAGAATCCAGTCCAATCACCCACTTCCTGTCTTTGCAACACACATTGAAGCCTCATCCTTGACACAGAGGCGTCACTGTGTAGCTCATTGGTAGAGCACTTGCCTGGTACGTGAGAAGCCCTGGGTTTGATTCCCAGTACCACGAGGAAAAAAAAAAAGAGAGAGATGTCACCACCAGTGTCCCTCTGTCCAGGTAGGGAGAGGTGTCATGGGAGGAAAATCCATACCATCTGCCAACATTGACCATTCTTATCCTTTATTCAGAAATGTAAATGAGCCACCAAGAATGTGACAACTTGAAGAAAATGAATTGCACATTAATAATAGCACACAAAAAATAAAAAATGAACAAAAAGAACATTTGTCCAGAGAAAATAAATAATTCAGAAACAAAATACCAGGTTTAAAATTCCAATTAATAGCATTAGAGAAATTTGAGAAAATAATAGGCCCTACAACAATAGCAACCTACTGTTTTTTTTTAAGGTAGTGCTCTAGAGTTAGAAGTTTTGTCAAATTTGACAAAGCAAGAATTTAACAGAAGGAATGGAGGTTAAAGTAGAGGATATTTCCTAGAATGTTGATGAATAAAGATGTGAGAGAAGAGTTAAAAGTTGAAGTATATTGAGGGCTGGTCTCCAAGTCCAACATCTGTCCAGTTGGACATCAAGAGACAACATGGAAGACATTATAATCAAGGAAGTAGAAGAGGAAATTTTCTTCAACAGATAATGATTGATAGTGTCCATTTAGTGCTAAAGAGGATTAATGGAAAGAGTCATTTTTAGAACAGGACTTATAACATGTTGGAGTCTCAGAAGTGAGGGGTGAGCCTAAATTCTTGAGAGAAAAGTCAGCTATAGCGTAGGACTAACAGACTGCCAATTCACTTCTCATTATCAACAATGCACACCAGGGACAAGGGAGCAGCACCTTCAGTGACTTCAGAAAAACTAGTTTAAATCTAGACTCTTAAATCCACCCAACTTTAATCCAAATGTAAAGGCAAAATAATGACATGTTTATATAATAAATATGCAAGTACTTCATTTAATTATGTAAGACCCGTGATTTAAAACTTTGAATTAAATAAAAATATAGCTGGATGGTTTTTTTTAATTGCATACTGGGTTTAACTTCTTAAGCTGACTCAGTAGAGGCTTTTTATTTTATTTTATTTTATTTTTATTTTTTTGCAGTACAAAATGCTTTGAACCCAGGGATGCTCTACCACTGAGCTATATCCCCAGCCCTTTAAAATTTTTATTTTGAGGCAGGGTTTTTCTTAGTTACCAAGGCTGACTTCAAACTTATGATGCTCCTGCCTCAACTTCCCAAGTAGCAAGGATTACAGGCATGAAGCACCTGTATCTGGCTTTATCTGAGAGATTTAAATAACCCCTGCATTGTTTATGACCCCACTGGACATTAACCACTTATGTATGTAAGCCAGTGTCTTATTCTAGCACTGTCGAATTGTTTTTATATACGTAGCTTCTTCCGTGCTTTTTGGACCAGTTTTCAATTTTTCCTGCTTTTTTTTTTTCATTAAGTCATACATTGAATAAAATCTTTGACACATGCTTATTTTCTATCCACATGAGTCATTTTTTGAATATTCTCCACATGCTCTTTTGTGAAAAAAAAAATTATTGGAAGTTGTATTTCAGATGGAATGTAATTTCTTTCTCAATAAATCCTAATACACCATAGTAAACTATATAATTGCATTATACTATAATTAATAATGTTTATATGGCATAATATGGAAATAAAATTGTGTGAGACTCACTTATACTGACCAGTAGAACATGAATATCACAACCCTTGAGAAGTGGAAATAATGATCAAGTATTGATACAAGAGAGCAGGGGCAGGAGAAACATAGGATGTGGTGAAGAAGATAAACTCCTCTCTTACTCGATGGGGAGAGAAGAGAGGCTGCCCATAGTTCATAAGATAAAAAAAAAATAGAACCTTGTTTTCTAAGATTGCAAAGTCAATCAGTTGAAAAACTAACAGTAATAACTGGAAAAAAAAATGTAAGGCCAAGAGAAGAGATGTTCAGTCCACTAACTTCCCAATCTTCATCCTATGCAGCCAAAAGATTTAGAGTCTATATATCCATAGTTCAAAAAGTAGGTATATAAGCATATAATAGAAGCACAATGGCTAAAATCAAAGAATGATTTAGTGATTTTTTTCTGAAGAGCAGGACTAAGGACTAGGCACTGCTAAAAATTGCTTGAAGTTGTATTGTGTCCCTTCGAGTTCATATGTTGAAGTGCTGACCCCATGTGACTGTATTTGAACACAGGGCTTTCAGGGAGATAACTAAGATTCGATAAGGTCATAAGAGTGGGACCCTAATCTGATAAGACTAGTATCCGCAAAAAAAGAAATGCTAGTAAGCTCTCTTCCACCCTCATACACACAGCAAAGAGATCGCTGTCTACAAGTCAGGAAGGCAGACCTCAATAACCAACCTTAACAGGACAAATATCTTGGATTTCCAACCTTCAGAACCATGAGAAAATAAATTTCCAAGTTGCCCAGTGGAAGTTTTTCAATTGTTACTCTTCTATAATGATGATTTTTATTTTCATATACATACTTTCTTAAGCCATTAGAATCATACTTTAAGATAACAGAAGTGTGACAGTTAAAGAACATTGCATAATGGCTAATTTTTTTTAGATATCTGAGTTACATATTTAGAGTTTTAACAAGAGGCAAATATCACAATAAAAATGATGGGTGTAATTAGCTAGTCATTATGAAATTTAGATTTTACAGGGTATGATAAATCTAAGCCAATGATTTTGAAGTGCCTACCTAATTGCAAAATCTGATAAGCTAACCACTAAGAAAGTAAAACTTCTATATATTTGTTCCAGTGGAAAGCATAATCACATTAGATCCAAAATTATTTTCCCATAAACGCATTGCTCTAAGTAGCATAAAAAAATAAGCAACTAATTACATGTTATATTAATTTAATAAGTAAAAAAATTAAAGTCTGAGCAGATTAGGGAAACCAAGACTCTGTATAAACAACTTCAAATCAATCACCCCAATAATTTAGGATAATATTGAAATCTATCCTGGAAATTTGGGAATTCTGTTCATTTAGCGAAGTATTTTAGATGAAGAGGGCTTAGGAAAGTAATGAGTAATTGCTATTTTTTGAGAGCTCAAGATATAAAGTTTGTATCTCAGTCCTGTGCCTCACAGTCTTAAAAAACCGCAGCATGGATCCTTGTACCACATTTTGGGGGGATTAGAGTACAGTACTCTGTAGAAATAGCTCAAGTACATGAAAAATGCTCAAAATAACTAATAATCATCAGGGAAATGCAAGTAAAAGCCACAAGGAGACACCACCTCACCCCAGCTAAAATGCTGTTAGCAATCTCCCCGCAAATTACAGAAAAACAAAATCCAACAAAGATGTGAAGAAAGGGAACCCTTATATACTGTTAATGGGAAGGCAAATCAATCACTATGGAAAACAGCATGGAGGGTCTTCAAAAAACTAAAAATAAAACCACCCTGTGATCTAGCAATTCCAACACTGGAAATATATATCCCAAGGAAATGAAGTCATCATTC